AAATCCTGCAGGTGCCTGTGCTTTCACAGCAGGTATCTGGAGGACTCTGCCCCCAGTGTGAGATGGAAACAGTGATCAATGCAGGGATGTGTCAGTTGTTGTTTTTTATTTTTTAAAAAATCTGTATTCAGGTAGTCCTTGACATACGGCCACAATTGAGACCAGAATTTCCACTGCTAGATGAAGCAGTTATTAAGTGAGTCACGCCTGATTTTAATGTCCTTTTTTGCCATGGCTGTTAAGTCAATCCCTGCACTTGTTAAGTAAATCATGTGGTTGTTAAGCAAATCTGACTTCTGCCCTGAAGTTTGTCAGAAACCAGCTGGAAAGGTCGCAAATGGCGATCACATGACCCCAGGATGCTGCAAATGTCATAAATGCATGCCAGTTGCAAGTGCCAAAATATGGATCATGTGACCATGGCAATGCTGCAACAGTTATAAGTGCGAGGATCAGTTGCAAGTCATTTTTTTTCAGAGCCATTGTAACTTCAAACAATCAGAATAACAAGAGTTGGAAGGGACATTGGAGGCCATCCAGCCCAACCCCCTGGGAGACTCTTCATCATTTCTGACAAAAGGTTGTCCACTCTCTTCTTGAAAGCCTTCAGTGATGGGGCACTCACAACCTCTGAAGCTGTTCCATTGGTTGATTGTTCTCCCTGTCAGAAAATTTCTCCTTATTTCCAGGTTGAATCTCTCCTTGATCAGTTTCCATCCATTCTTTCTTGTCCGGCTTTTGGGGGGCTTTAGAAAATAGGTTGACCCCCTCTTCTTTGTGACAGCCCCTCAAATATTGGAGCAGTGCTATCACGTCACCCCTGGTCCTTCTCTTCCAGCCATACCCAATTCCTGCAACCGTTCTTCATATGTTTTAGCCTCCAGACCCCTAGTAATTTTGTTGCTCTCCTCTGGACTCTTTCTAAAGATTGAATCTAAAGATTTAAAGATTCAATCATTAAATGAATGGTTGTAAGCCAAAGATGGCCTGCGTTGTAGAACTCCTAATCTGATGAAAATCAGAAGGTGAGAGTTTTTCATTGTTCCAGATTTTCCTCCTGGTTATGTTCTGTCCAGAAGGAAATGCTAAGATCAGTTTAGCAAAACTTTGACATCATTGCTCCCATTTTAGGTATAACTTCTTGTCCTTTTTTAGGGATGGATGATTCATTGCTGCAAATAATTAAAGGGTAGCTTAGTGATAGACAGGAAACCAAATAGTTCTAATTTTATATTTCCTCCTCCCTCCCCTTAAAGTAAGACACTAACTCTAATTTTGCATTCATTAATACAATGGGGCAACCTGTAGATACTGAGATGTTCTGGGCACAGGGCAGAAATGCTATATAGGATAAACCTTGTATAATCTGGTATCCTGCAGATGTATTATTCAATCATCATTATTCCTGTTACTTAAGTCCATGTATTCCATATCTGACACTTTGGTATGATAGAGAATACCTCTTGGGCTTTGTCTATGAGATATATTTTCAGGTACCTGACAAAAGCTATCATATCCCCTCCCTCCCTCCCTCCCTTCCTTCCTTCCAGGGTATGGTCAAAAAAATCAAGATAATATTTATTGCAATCTAATTGAAACGCTACCCATTTTACCTGTGTGATGCATTTTGATTTTTTGACCATATCTTTGAACACCTGTTCCTCTTTCCTTGCATAAAAATGAATATAAGTATGAATAACAATAAAGTATTTTTAAAAGCAGTGCTTCGTAGAGTAGCTTCCTGCAAGCACAGTTTGGAAACTGAATCCCACAAGCTGGCAGCCATACTAACCCATCTCCCAGTTCCCTCCATCTGTCTTTGCAAGGCTTAGTTTCCAGTCTCCTGATTTTCCTTCTTGCTTTTTTTTTGAACCTGTCCAAGTTTCTCTGACTCCTTCTTAAAGGGTGTGATCTGAAAACAGATGCCATATAGAATATAAATTGTGGGCAGGTTTCCATCAAACATGGAAGCCTTGCTTAGTGTTATCCATGGTAAAGAATATATTCTCATTCTGCAGCACAAGCAATCACAGAACGGAATAACAGAGTTTATTGGAAGGGACCTTGAAGGTCTTCTAGTCCAACCCCCAAGTCCTCTCTGTCCACTACCAAGGCATCTTTGTATTTTAGGGCCGAATAGCACTTCCCGTTGTTGTTATCTGACAAGTATAGGTAGTTCTTGACTTATGACCACAATTGAGCCCAAAATTTCTGTTGCTAAATGAGAGTTGTTAAATGGGTTTTGCCCCATTTGACAACCTTTCTTGACATAGTTGTTAAGTGAATCACTGCAGTTAAGCTAGTAATATGGTTGTTAAGTGAATCTGGCTTCCCCACTGACTTTGCTTGTCAGAAGATTGAAAAAGGGGAATCAGTGACCCTGGGACACTGCAATCATCATAAATATGAGTCAGCTGCCAAGCATCTGAATTTTGATCACATGACCATAGACATGCTGCAATGGTCATGAATGTGAAAAATAATCATAAGTCATTTTTTCAGTGCTGTTGTAACTTTGAAAGGTCACTAAATGAACTGGTGTAAGTTAAGGACTACCTGTAGACAGTAGGCTGATCCAGATCAGAACTACTGCCTATATGTGGTAAAAGTTAAACTTTTTAAAGTCTAGTTTCACAAATACCACCACACACACACACACAACAAGATGTGTGTCAACTTCCTCCTAGAATTCTCAGTAATGACTGCACATATGTGTTTGCGTATATCAGGTCTTAGGACCTAAAGAGAAAATTCTGCTTTGTACTATTTTTTTTGCAGTAATTTCTGCATTGTTTTCCAGGAGGACTGCTTGATACTACTGAGTAAATGTTCTCTTCCCTGCTAGCAATTCCACAAATTGAGCAGAGGGATTAACTTGATTCACCAATCAGAATGAAATGTACTTGAATGGATTTGATCAACCAAGTTTCTGCATATGGACATTTGGATGGCTTGAAACTGGATCTGATTCAGACAAATGAGCCAATTTAATTCAGATGTCCACATCAAATAGAATTGATCTTCTGAATCCCTTTGAATCTAATTGGATTCAGGTGATGCACCTCTATGACTTAAACATAAATCACTATTAATCCACATTTTAGCAATATGGGAAAATAAGCTATGGTTATTGAAAGTAGCGATGGCTTTCTGCTTAGTTATCCTTTGGTTATACTATTCATTAGGGAAACACACTAACCTTATCACAATGTGACTTAAAGCAACCTACCTCAACCTTGGCAACTTGGTGAACTTCAATTCCCAGCATGCTGGCTGGGGAATTCTGGCAATTAAAATCCACATGTCTTTAAGTTGCCAAGGTGGAGAAGCACTGACTTAGAGGATTGTACAGGTCACATTTGTGAACATTACGTATGATCCCAGCAGTTCCCTTTGCTCTCTCAATTATATACTGCAATATACCTCTTTGGCTCTGAAAACAGCGTATCAGTTCTCCAAAGGAATGGGTGGATTAAAACATAAATAATTGGTCAGAGCTGAACTTTAGTAGATCTGTCCCCCTGATTACACAAATGCCTATTTAAATCATGCCTTTCTTGTAAGTCCTTAGCCCAACATAATAACAACTTAGTCATATTATTCCCCATAATACGGACATTAATTTCCTGTTCCTTTCCAACACACACTGCTATTTCCATTCCATGTTTCTAAACCCCATGTATGAAATTGTCCACTGTAAAGAAAAAGAGACTAGAGAGGTATGTTTTCATAAAATGTTGAATCTCACTTTCTCGCTAGTTGCAGCATGACTCCAGTATTATTTCACATTATTAATACTGGTTCAGAGGTTAGGGGTCAAATTATGTGTAAAGCTGTGTGCCATAAATATGTTCAGGGACTACTGATAAAACCAGAGTTCACACCCCTGTGTAGAGAAAAGAGATTTTTCAAATAACAGAGTTAAGAGCCCATATTTTGTACAGGTAGTCTTCAACGTACTACCACAATTGAGCCCAAATTTTTTGTTGCTAAGTGAGACAGTTGTTAAGTGAGTTTTGCCCTATATTATAACCTTTCTCGCCACAGCTGTTAAGTGAACTATTGCAGTTGTTAGGTTAGTAACATGGTTGTTGAATGAATCTGGCTTCCCCCTTGACTTTGCTTGTCAGAAGGTCGGGATCACATTTCCCTGGGAGGGGGGGGGAAACACTGCAACCGTCGTAAATATGAGTCAGTTATTGAGAGTCTGAATTATGATCATGTGACCATGGGGATGCTGCGATGGTTGCAAGTGTGAAAAATGGCCATTAAAACTTCAAACGGTCACTAACCAAAGGTTGTAAGTCAGAGGACCACCTCTGCAGCAAGACACTTAGCCTTTTTCTGTATTGAGAAACGATGTGCTTATAAGAACTCCACCCTTAGGAGAAAATAACGTCCTCGCGTATTTCAAATAGGAAGGGGCATCCTTGCAGCCTCTCTGGCTTATTCTGCTGAATGAGACCCAGTGGATTCCCTTGCCTCCCCCACCCAAATCTTCCCCTAATTGCTTCCACAGCTGTGCTCTCTTCTGGTCCCCGAGGGGTCATCTCCTGCGGTTATCTCCTGCAGTGGCGTAGCTGGGGAGGGGGTGGGGGCTACAGTCCCCTTTATCCGCTAATGCTATTCTTTGAAACAAAATGTAATTTCAATCGAATCGAAAGAGCGGATGCACAGAATTTTCCAACCGGAGGGGAGATGTTATCTTTCTTCCTCTCTTCCTCCTCTTTCCCGCCCCCCCTCGCTCCTTTGATCCTAAGGACTCTGGGTACCATCCCCGGTTTAGATCTTCGGGGTTGGGGGGGGAAGCATCCTTTCTCCTGCCCCCCTACAAACCCCATCCTTGGATCACCTTTGCAAGCCAACAGGAGGCGGCAGGGGAGGTTCGCTAACCAGACCCCTTGGCTCCCCTCCTCCTTGTAATTCAAGCACCCCTCCCGCCCCACGTTAAGGAGGAGGAGAAAGGGGCGGAGTCTAGCGACTTGGGGGAGGGCGGGGAGGAAGAGAGCGAGAGAGGTCGGTCATGGGTGCCGCGGGAGCCGTGCTAGCCCGGAGGAGGAGGGGGGAGATGATGTGAGGATGTCCTCTCCCCCCCCCCCACCCCCGGTATTTTCTTTGCAAAGGGGAAAATGATATTGTGGTGCTTTCCCTCTCCTGCTGAACAAACCCTCATCACCTCTGCTTTGACAGGCAGCTTGGTTTCCTCTCTGCACTGGGCAGCGAAAGAAGAGATTTTTTAAATATTTTTTTTTGCCATTTCCCTCTCCTTCCCCGTTGAGGGTGGGGCGTCCCAGGAAAAGTGAGGTGTCTCTCTCTCTTCTCTTCTCTCTCTCTCACTCCCCCCCGTTTGCCCCGTTTCACCAGCTACCAACCACCTCTTCCTTATTAAGACCTCTGTGCGTTGCTCTAGAGTTACAAGCATCCACCAACCCTCCCCAACCCGGGAAGAATTTAATCCTCGAAGTGAGCCACCAACTACCCCCCAACTGAAGATAAAGAGGGTGGGGGCTGCACAAAAAGGACATCATCACCCCGACCCCTCTCCTTAGCCCCATTTTCCATCGGGGGACGGCGCCAGCTGGGACCAAAACACGAGCCTGCCTGCCTCCCCCTTAAGATGTTAATCCCGCTGATCAAAGCGCCCGAGAGATGATCAAACGCTGCAAGGACGGAAGATTGCACTATTTTGACCCCCTTCGACTTCCATAAATACATTTTTTTTTAAAAAAAGAACTTGGTGGGACCTTAAAAAAAAAAAGCGCCCACTCTTCCTTGCCCCCAAGCTTCGCTTCCGTTGGCATCAATCCGCTCCTCCGCCCTGACCAATTTCGTTTGGGTGATGGTAAGTTTCGCCTCACTTTCCAATCTTTGGGCTTGGTTGGCGGGGCCCCAGAGAAGTTTATGGGCTTTCTTGGAGGGAGGGAGGGAGGGGGCGGGGGGGAAACGGAGGAAGAAAGTCCGCGGCAGGTGGATCGGGGCAAAGAGAGGGGAGTTCAGCCGGGAGCAAAACGAGAGGAAAAAACTCAGATTTTACAGATCCGTAAAGCTGGGGGGGGGGGTGTATCGCCCATAGGGTGAGGAGGGGGGTTGATGGGTTCTGATTTAAGTGGGGACCCCCCCCTCTCTTAAGAGTGCGCCGGAGACTCGGTGCACTTCTTAACCATTGTGCCTCCTCCCGAGGAAGACCCGTCTCTCCCCGTCCCGCCACCACCCACCCCGGTTGCCGCAAAGTGCTGCTCGTGTCGGAGTTTAATGCGGGGGAGGCGAGGGGGGGGGGAAACGAGAGATTGAGAGGGGGAGAGAGAAGCGGAGACCCAAGGCGAGCTGCGTCTGCGGAGTGTCTGGATAGCTCTCCTCTCTCCGGTGCGCTTTTACGCATGGAATTGGGGAAGGGGGGGGAAATGCGTAAGATCTGTACAGGAGGCGGGAGGAAAGGGGCGAAAGTATGGCACACGCTCGTTCGCTCTCGGCAGCAGCCAGCTTAGCCCAGGCTCGAGGTAGCGGAAAATGGCCGCTCTGGCGAGGGGGGCGGAGAAGGAGGGCGGGCGAGCCGAGCTGAACTTGAAAATGACGCCCAGCGGGGAGGGAGAGCCACGGCGGCTGTGCAACGCCAAGGCTGCTCCGGCGGCTGCCTTTCCCTCCGGCCTCTTTTGCGCCAGATAAGCCTCCAGCCTTCCCCCCCCCACGCCCTCGCCCCGGCCTTCCCCGCCCAGCTCAGGAAAGGCCGAGCAGGAACTCCCTCTCCAGAGCGGCTCTCCCGCCGCGCCCGGCCCCGCCTCGCGGTGCCCCAGCCCTTCGCGCGTCAAAATTCACTGTCTCGCGGGCGAAGCGAGTTGGGCCCTGCGGCAGGAGGCGGCAGGCCGCCTCGTCAGCAGAAGCTGCGAGGTGCCGCTGCGGAGCACCGGCTGGGCGAGAGGGGGGAGGCGGCGCGCAGGCCGCCCGGCACACACATACGCAGCCTCGGCTGCAGCTTTTGCGGCAACGGGCATCCCTCCCTCCTCCCCTTTACAGTTCTTGCTCTTCGACCTTTTACTTCACACACACACACCACGATCAAAATTCTTCTCCGTATATACAGATACCCATTGGAAAAGCTGCCTCATCACCCCAGCTTTAATGTTGGAGAGGGGGGGTTGTATTGTGCGCGTTGCGGGTCCCGCGTCCGCCGGTCCTTCCCCAGTTGCAGCCTTTAGACCGGAGCCTCCGCACGGGGCAAGCGGGCGCCTTGTGACCGAGGCCGACTTCTGCTGCGTCAAAGCAAAACAGGATGGCGTTTCCTTGCACGGATCTCCTGCCTTCCCTTCTGGCGGACGAATTGCGACCGCCGGACTCTGACTCTCTCTCTCTCTCTCTCTCTGCGTGTGTGTGTGTGTGTGTGTGTGTCCGCAAAAAAAGAGCCTCGGGGCAATTCCTGAAACTCAGAAGTAAAGTCAGTGGCGCTTTCTCCCGGCTAAGAGGTGTTTGGGATCGCCCCTTGGAAGGGCTAAAGATGATTGGGGAAAGGAAGGGGCGGTGAATTGACGGACTGGTGTAAGAAGACCTAATGTCATTCTTTCCTTATGTGAAGATCGCCGCCTTTTCTCTCGGCCGGGACCGTTTCCAATTAACTGCGTAAATCTTGTCCACCTTGGAGAAAGAGGGGGAGTCAACCCGGTTGTCAACAGTCACTGGGAGTTACTCCCAAATAAATGTGGCCGGTTCCGGAATCGGCCCGAGTCCTTTTGCATGAGGAATCTTGCTCCTCGGGAGTTTTTACGAGAAGAGAATCTGGCGCTCCGGAGAAGTGATGAGACGCTGTGTCCGGGTTCGTTTGAACATCCCGACACGTAACTTCAAGAAAAAAAAATGCTGTTTTCTTGGGCCCAGTTTACGCCTCGAGGTGCGCCTCAAATCCTCTGCACGGCCTGTCTTGGCCTCATTTAAACCAGAGGCAGGCTGCTTTTGTTTTACACGCACACACTCTCACTCTCTCTCTTTCCGACGCGTCAGTTACCGTACAACAATTTCCCTCACGACTTTGCCGGGCGGCAGGAGCGACGGTGCTTTTATATAACCTTGACTCAAACCGAGCGAAAATACCTGTCAGCCAGGAGAGGCGGCATTTCTGTTTTTTGTTTTTTTTTCATCCAGAGAGTGGAATGAGCCTTTCTGAAGTGGGTGGGGGGAGGTCGGCCGGGTGGGAGTAAAAATTTCAAGGGCATCCCAGCAGAGAAAGAGAGAGGTATACTAACTTGAGACAAGTCAGGACTCCACTGAGGCGCGGCAGAGATTGAGTCTTCCAAGCATGGCTATGTCGGTAGATCAAGAAGGTGCCGAGAAGGAAACCTGCCGGGAAGCACAAAGGGCAAATTCTATAAAAGGTGAATTGGCTTGAAGAGTTCGGCCTGCCTCGGAAAACCATTGGGGTCGGCCGTGGGCCGAGTTCAGACTTCTGATTACACTCTTGCCTTAGCTAGGGGGTGTGGGGAGCCCTGCATATTAGCGGCTGTGGTTCCGGGGAAGATGCTTCTGGTCTCTTAAATATCTTGCTTCGGGTATCTTGTGACAAAAGAGCTTCTGGCCCACTTGGAAGATTAGCTGGTAGAAAGAACGTCTGGAAGCGCCAGCTCTGCCTGGTCGAGTTTCTGCATGCAGGATGCCTCTTGGGGTTTATTTTCTTCTTTTTGTTATCCACCCCTTACCAAGATAGAAACCAAGACCTAGGCGACCGCTTCCTCTTGAGGTCACTGACTAGGCCAATCCTTATTTTCCAATAATTTGGAACTGCTCTTCTTATCTTTTATCTCATGCCATTTTGGTAAGGTGGGCAGGAGGTCCTTTCTAAATGGCTTAGACGAGAGAGGGCCCGTTTTCAAAAGCCACCAATTATCTCCGCGATATAGCCTTGGGCGCACTTGTCAGTTATTTACCGACTTAGTTATTACTCAGTCCACTGTTAAAAAAAGAGTAAAAATTATTTATGATTATTCCTCCCCCTCCCTCCCAGATTCACTTTCTATTTAAATCCTCCAAGATGCTAAATAAGTCGATTTGCGATTTGCGCGCGCACATTTTCCGTGTTTGAAGAGCGTGGTCCCGGCTCTCCCAGCTCAAAAAGTAAATCCCATTTGCTTTTAGTGGCCTTAATTCCAGATTAAAGGGCCTCGAGGGGTTCCATAACATAGATCTTGCGTGTGATTTGCTTTGTGCGTGGGTGGGTGGTTGGCTGGATGGCGGGTGATCTCCCCAAGCCGACAATTTGCTAGTCTTCATGGTGACCTCATTTTTAAAGTTCCTTTTTTGGGACAGGGGAAATCTCTAGCTGCCCAGAGATGAAGAAGGTTGAGTGCCAGGCACGTTAATAACAGGACTTCTTAAAACTTTAGATTGTCACTAAATTTCAGCCAGTTTGCCATGAAGCGGCCTGCCTAACCGCGGGAGAGTACTTGAGGCTTTTGACGCGTAACTGGCAGCCTTGCCAGGGAAACGTTTATTTCCTCTTCTGCTACCCACCCCACCGCCAGTTCCAGAGGCGCCCGTTCTTCTTATTCCCCTAGTTTCTTTTGATTCACTTCTCAGTCTCGATCCCACCTTTGTGGAGAAACTGGTGATGTGTCGAAACTAGACTGGAGGGCTGCGCTTCCGAAGTTGGGAGCGCTGGGCATTTTCTTTGGGTGGGCCTGCCTAGTAAGCGTAGAGTCGCCCCCAGGCCTCTGTTGACCAAAGAGAAGAGCTGCTCCCAGAAAGGGTGGCTAACCTTTCCCCTCCCTTTCCAGTGTGGGGAGGGCTGAATAACCGAAGGAAAAAGAGGATTTGAGAAGGGAAGAAACTCTCGGCCTCTCTCCATTCATTCCACTGCCTGGCGCTATGGCCTGGCTGCGTTATGAAGTGGGAGGCATAGAAACCTCATTATTTAGGAACAAACGCCGAATATCAAGGAGGGGGCTAGATTTCTCTGAGCTAAGAATTCCAGCGTCTGGAGATCTACATTAAGATTGCTTTTTCAAACTGTATTTTGGAGCAGTGACAGCCGAAACCTGTTCCAAGATAGGAAGTTGGAAAGTCCTGGAGAAAGAAAACGCGCGTTGGCTCTGTTTTTATTTTAATACTACCCCACACTCATACTTACTCACTCACACTTTTCCACCTCCAGTTGCTGAGTAGATAATTGATTCAATTTGCTCTTTTTTTTAAAAAAAATATCTGTTTTCCTAAATTCCATAAATACTGCACGCTCGACGACGTGCTGAGCATTTCTCACCGAATTCACGGGGACTGGTGAATAAAGTTGCTTAGAATGGCTGGAAAAACTTCACAGTTCTCTCCCCAATATCCTTAGCATTCCAGAGAATACATGTCCAGAGAAGCAGCACCTTATGATTATTGTGAACACGATTTTTAAAATGGATTTCCCACATCAGGCAGACGGAGATAGAGTTGTACTGTAATTCCCTTGGCGAAGGAGAGGCAGACAAAGTTTTTAACATGCGCTGAAGTCGGTGGATGGCAGTGACATGCATGCCTGTACCCCCTTTTAAAAACTACATATGTTTGTTTGCAGATGGGAGATTAAAAGTGTTAATAAGGATGGTGGTTTTTGCAAAAAATAAAAAAAGGGAAAAGTGTTTCTCTAAATTAGAGCCTTGTCCGCCTGTCTTCCTTGCTTGCAGAAAAACGTATGTGAAAGTTTCATACAAAAATTTGGATAGCTTCGGCTACCTTACAGAAGAATGAGGTCGCCACCACCTCGTAGGCAGAAAAAGGAGAACTCGAATTGATTTTACAGGGACGGCCTCTTATCGCGTTTTTACTCTCCTTTTGCCTTTCCTTTCACTTTTTCCCTCCTGGTCTCTTCCTGCCTCT